TCCATAATCTGCGTACTTCTGTTCGTTCCAATGATTATCTTCGATATTGTTGCTTTTCCAATAGGAAAAGTTTCTCTGACGTGGAGAATATCGAATGGTTCGATGCTTCACTCTGAGACAAGTCAGTACCTCTTGTGCGATTGTATCCAATGATGCACTTACATTCGTGTAACATACATCTTCTCGAATTTGAATATATTTTGCCACAAAAGTACAAATTTCTTCCAAAAGCTGTTCTCTTTCAGGTTTCTTTCTATATCTGTCCAACTCATTTCCTATCGAGGATAGCTTTTCATAGTGAGACATTTCTATATTGCAATATCTTTCGATTGATTTGCGATCAATTCCTCTAAAAATTTATATATAATGAATTATTAACTAATGAATAAATACATTAATTTGTAATAATAGTAGCATTATAATATATATGAAGATCCTACTGGAAAATGGCGTAAACAAGCATTTAATCTCCTCAATATAAAAACATATATTTCAGCTCATCTATAAGCTTATCTGTAGGCTCAAGAAAAAGTATATTTTATGCAAACGCTTTACATATACATTGATGTTACCCGAGAATTTTATTACATTATCGAATTTCAATATATTATTGATTGAGCCATTGAAATAATTTTTGTTTGATCTATTATTGTAAAAATAATGGTAAAAAAGAATTTGAGACAAATAATTTTGCAATTGTATCGCAGAATTTATGCCTTTTGTGACAAAGTTATGTTTCCTCCACCCTTTGTTGTATTTAGATTTTCATATCTTCTCTTTGTAATAGGCCATCTAAAACACGACCATAAAATACTGTAATAAATTTTTGATAATGATACAATGTTGTGTTAAGATTAATTTTAAATAAACTAGATTAAAAAAAAACGAGATAAAAATATGTAAATTTGTTTTAGATTAGATGAAGATAATTTTGTTTTAAGTATGTTTGAAAGTATATCTAATGAAAAATAAAATTATATGAAGATTATGTAAATAAATTTTTAGATAATTTTTAATGCTGCTTATGTAAACAAAGTTATACAAAAAAATATAATTATAAAAGGGATACAACAAGATATGTATTCATATTTTATTAAAAAATTTTTATCGTTTTACTGTCTATTTTAAGTATTTTTATGTGCTATGATTCTAAACCAAAATTATTTGAATATTATTTTAGATAAATAATATAGTAAAGGTAATAATTTATAAAAGGTAGTAAATTATTTACAAATTTTGACTCTAATTGTATATTGCGTAATTATATGTGTATTCTACATGCTATTAATAAACATTAATGTTTGTGTGTGTATATTTAAAAATTTTTTAAAATAATTTTTAGAACAATTTTTCCGAAAACATTTACATTCAATGTTGACTGTGTTTATAAATGTTACTTGGCATGCTTTTACTTTTATGAAATTTATTATGATTTCAGTGTTATTTATTAAAACAACCGATAAAAAATATCAATCCTGTTTGTTTTAATGACGAATATATATCAAAATATAATCTTTATTTTTAAATACAATTAAATATATTGAAGAATACACATAAAATAAATAAGCAAAGTTAATTTTACGTTACATTTTTAGTAATTGAAAATCTAAAGAAAAATATTTAATGACTAAATCTTTGTCGATTGATACAGGCCAATTAATATTTATCTAATTAATCACACAACGTTTTATAGAATATCTGTCGTTCTCAAGTGTACTGTCAAGTGTGCGATTTATCGACCAAAATTATGGTCGAAACTCCGTGGTCGAAACAATGTGTGATTAATTAGACAAACATCAATTGGCAAGTATCGGTCGAAAAATATTTGGTCTTTAATTTTGACAGTTGAAAATTATGAATTCTTATCAGTATATTTAACGTTTACATTCTATATATATATATATATATATATATATATATATGTATGTGTATATTATATATGTATATATATAACGGTAGAGTTTGCCAAAATTATTGAGCAATAGAAAAAAATGAAAGCGAATAATTTACTATGCAACATAAATGCAACATACCTAATATTTTTATTATTTTTATTTATTATATATTTATAATATACGTTCTTCGCAGAAGTGATATACATTGTGCGACAGGCGTTAATGAGACAAAATAACAAAAAGATTTACAAACCACAAGAATTACCTTTGAGATAACTTTTTTCCAAGAACTTGTCATATGTGGCTGCATAACGAAATTGCTTGCACACGCATCGAAAGTTGATGATATCTTCAATAGTGAGTACATTATCGTTGAGAATGTGGCTTATCATCTCCTCTGATAAGCACGTTATCTTATAATTAGACATTATGAGAAACAAAAAACACAAAAGGATTGTAAATTAAAGTGATTGCAATAAACTATTCGCGTAATTCCTTGCTTTTTGCAGTACAAGAAATGCGTTTCTTTATTACGAAGAGCACAGATGTGTGTTTGATGTACACGAGAGACGTTTTCCACACTGTAGACGTTCTGTTCTTTATTGTAAAATTTGACCTCAAATTTTAAAGCATTATTGCTTGTTTTCACTAAGATATAAGTATAAGGACTTGCCACGGCATACGCAGAAAATGTAACTTAGAACTAGCAAATTTACCGTTTCTTCCTATGCGCTTGAAAGATAGAACGTGGTAAATAATTCATTTATTATTCATTTTATTATCACTATTTATTTATTTATTGTTCTTATTATTTTAAGCTTAATTAAAATATTTTTCAAATTTGTCAATTATTTTAAATTTCACTAATTTTCATGTATTTATATATATTATGCAATATTTAAGTTTAATGAAAATAATATTATTTAAATTAATTATTTTATAAAATTTACTAATTTTCATATATTTATTTTACTTTTACAACTGCAGTATGCTGTGCATTGTGTCGACTTTTTATTTTAATTTGGAGTTTTAATAATTTTGTGAAAATCATGGATAAGAGAGAAATATGGATCGCAAATATTGAGTTTGGAACAAAAATGAAAAAATACTTTTACCTAACGCGTGACGTTTATTTTTTGTTCAAAATACAAAATTTGACAAATTTTTGCACAACAATTTTAGATTTGCATGAATTTGCAATAATTCTGAAATTATACTAATATCATACAAAATCTAATATCATTTATAAGCTCATTTATCGTCTCCTTCAATACAAAAATTATGTATATTTGAAAATATAAAAATCATTGTCTTTTATTAACGTACCTATTTATACTTATACAAATGCAACACACTATCGATTATATAAGTTTCAAATAATAGATATTAATAGATGGCAAATTTATTACGTCATATTTTGCATATACTTAAAGTGTTAAAAAAAGTTATTAAACTAATTAATTTTTTATTTTAAGATTTATTAATTTTTTTGCACCAATTCAAATTGTTGCAGTCACAAAATTTTCTTACTTTATTATTTATGATAATTAATACAATAAATATCGCAGAAAGATAATAGATATATTTTATTCATCGTTGATTCTCAATTGTCGAACATGTATGTATATATGTATATGTCAATAACATCCTATTATCTATTATGTTGATCCGAATCTGTAGATTGATCTGTAGGTGGATTATATATTATGATAATTTCCACAGCATATTTCACGTTTTCATTTATGTGTTCTACTATTTAAAATAAGACAGAAACTGTAAAATATTTACTTTGATTTTTTGTGAATAAATGCCTCAATAAACACTTAATTCAAGTTAATATAGAAAATTGTAAATTATACATAATTGTTATCTGAAAATATCTCACAATGCTCTTTATTTTTACAATGGTATATGTTATACACTAACTAGCGATTATGTTAGTGCGCGTATGTTTTTTACACATTACAATTGACTAATCCCAAATAGATTATTATGTGTCAATATAAACGTTTCAACAAATAATTGTATTATGACCAACATCTGAAAAAGTTAATTAAACATGAAAAAAGATTAAATGTAAACAAGAATCTAATTATAATTTAAGAACTGAGAAATGTACGTTTCTTTTCTTTCTACACACATATAATGTAATTTATTAATTGCTTGTCAATTTACAAGCATATTAATAACCTAAAATTAATAAAAGTAATAAATAAGTTTCAACCTTTGCAGTTCTTATTTTGATGACTTCATGATGTGTACAAGACATGTAATCTGGTAGACAATCATGAAGACAATTCGGGAAATTCTCGTCTTTTATGTAAAAACATCGTTCATTTTCTAAATTATTCGTGACGCTATAAATAATTAAAATATTACTTTAATCATTATGAAAATTTTTATAATAAAAATATATATATGTATGCGTATAATAAAAAAAGAAAGATTATCGAAAAATAATGATAATGTCGAATCTAATATATAACTATACTTACAATTTTGATTTCCAAAATATACAGATTTCACCGTAAACATCTATTAGATCGCAACGTAGACCAAGTCTTCTAGCCACGCTATGAAATATTGTATATACAACGATATCATGACCATATTTACTTTGTAATACCTGTGCCAGGTATAATACAGAACAAATTAATCAAAACGAGAGAATATTAAGAACAATATATAATATATACATATATGGCCCATAATTATATATATTATAATCTCTAATAACTTACATAATCTATACAAATCCATTTGATATCTTCGAGTGAAAATGGGGAGATACATGCTCGAAAATTCAAGATGCTAAATATATATTCCTGGAGTGTATCCATAATCTGCGTACTTTCTGTTTCATCCCAATGATTATCTGCGATATTGTTGCTTTTCCAATAGGAAAAAGTTTCTTCAGAAGTGGAGAATATCGAATGGTTCGGATGCTTCACTCTGAGATAATTCAGTACCTCTTGTGCGATTGTATCCAATGATGCACTTACATTCGTGTAACATACATCTTTTCGAGGTTGAATACGTTGTGCTATGAAAGTACAAACTTCTTCCAAAAGCTGTTTTTTTCAGGTTTCTCTATATATCTGTCCAACTCATTTCGTATCGAAGATAGCTTCTCATAGTGAGACATTTCTATATTGCAAAATTCTTGGATTGAATTGCGATCAATTTTCCTAAAAAATATATATATATTAAATTATTAACTAATGAATAAATACAATAAATTGTAATAATAGTAGCATTATAATATATATGAAGATCCTACTGTGGAAATTGTGTTAACAAGCATTTAATCTCCTCAATATAAAACATACATTTCAGCACATTTATAGGCTTACGTGTACGTTCAAAAACAAGTTCATTTTCATTCATACGATTTGCATATTCATCGAAATTATCACTGAATTTCTTTACATCATCGAATTTTAATACTACATTACTAATTGAATCATTGAAATAATTTTGATTTGATATATCATTGTAATAATCATCAAAAAGAATTAGAGACAAATAATTTCGCAATTGTGTCGCAGAATTTATGCCCATTGTAACAAAGTTTATGTTTTCTTCATTTTCTTCTTCCTTAAGACTTTCATATCTTTTCTTCGTAAAGGGCCATCTGAAATACGACCATAAAATATTGTAATAAATTTTTGATAATGAATTAGTTTTGTGTCGAGATTAATTTAAAATTAGCTGGATAAAGATCCTAAAAAGATAAGGATCTCTTGTAAAAGGGATACAACAATATATGTATTTATATTTTTATTTATAAATTTTTATCGTATTTTTGTCTACTTTAAGTATTCTTATGTGCTATGATTTTAAACCAAATTTATCTGAAAATTATTCTAGATAAATAATATAGTAAAGGTAGTACTTTTTTTTATCTATTTGTAAGATGCAGATATAAAGATAATACATATTTATATTATCTATATGCAGATAAGACGATGCCACAGTTCTTCCATTTAGTTTTATTTAGATAACACACAGCAAACTTTGATGATAGTAAACAATGTGATTGCACAAGTAAGTTTTTAAATTAATAAGTTTTTTGAAGTATACAATTCAAAGCATGAGTACATGTATGTCACTTCTTTTTATACTTTAATCAGAAAAATAAAATATATAATAGTCAATTCTAATTTGTAATTTAATTTATACTTTTCAAATTTTGATTTTAATATGTATATTGCATAATTCTATAAGTGTATTCTATATGCAATTAATAAACATTAATGTGCTTATGTGTTTGTATGTATAGATTAAGTTTTTTTTTAATATTGTGTAGAACAATTTTTTCGAAAGCATATTTACAAACAATGCGTCAATTTTGCTTATATATGTCACTTGGCATGTTTTTATTTTTATAAAGATTTTATTGTGATTTTTATGTTATTTATAAAAAAGAATTGATAGAAAAATATCAAATCTGTTTGTGTCTATCACGAATATATATCATATATATAATTTTTATATTTAAAAATGCAATTAAATATATTGAAAAATACACATTATAATAATTAAACAAAGTTACTTTTATGTTGTATTTTTAATAATTTAATCTAAAAAAAATTGTTTAATGACTGAATATTTTTCGACTGATATATATAGATAAGCTAATTAATATTTATTTAATTAATCACACAACGTTTCATATAATTTTTGTTATTCTCAAGTGTTACTGTTAAGTGTACGAAGGACCAAAATTATATCGTCAAAACACCGTGGTCGAAACGTTGTGTGATTAATTAAATAAACATCAATTGACGAATGTTGGTTGAAAAATATTTGCTCTTTTAATTTTTGACAGCCGAGAATTAAGAATTCTTATTAGTATATTATATTTAACGTTTACATTCCATATATATATATATATATATATATATGTATTTTTATATTATATATGTATATATATAATGTAGGTAGAGTTTGCTAAAATTATTGAGCAATGTTTGCAAATTGAGAAAAAACGAAAGCGAATAATTTAATATGCAACATAAATGCAACATATCTATTTTTTTTGAATATTTTTTTATATATTTATTTATAATATACGTTCTTCGCAGAAGTGATATACATTGTGCGACAGGCGTTAATGAGACAAAATAACAAAAAGATTTACAAACCACAAGAATTACCTTTGAGATAACTTTTTTTCCAAGAACTTGTCATATTTGGCTGCATAACGAAATTGCTTGCACACGCATCGAAAGTTAATGATATCTTCAATAGTGAGTACGTTATCGTTGAGAATGTAGCTTATCATCTCCTCTGGTAAGTACGTTATCTTCCAATCAGACATTATGAGAAACCAAACACAAAAAAGGAATGTAAATTAAAGTGATTGCAATAAACTATTCGCGTAATTAATTCTCTGCTTTTTGCAGTACACGAAACGAGTCTGCCGATTACAAAAAGCACAGATGTGTGTTTGATGTACACGAGAGACGTTTCCGCACTACAGACGGTCTGTTCTTTATTATTAAATTTGACCCCAAATTTTATAGTCTTATTGCTTGTTTTCACTAAGATACAGGTATAAGAATTTGTCACGGCATGCGCAGAAAATGTAATTAAGAACTAGCAAAAATTACCACTTTTTCCTGTGCACTTGAAAGATAGAACGTGGTAAATAATTTATTTATTAATTATTCTTTATTATTACTATTTATTTATGTATTGTTCGCTATTTAAGCTTAATTAAAATAATATATTTTTTCAAATTTATCAGTTATATAAAATCTTACTAATTTCCATGTATTTGTATTATTTATTATTTAAGCTTAATTAAAATAATTTTATTTCAAGTAATCATTTATTTTATTAAATTTTACCAACTTTTATGTATGTATATTTTACAATTTACAACTCCAGTGCTGTGCATTATGAAATCTTCTCGATAAGAGAGAAAAGGAAAGAGAGAGATTTACATTTTGCATTTTTCAAATCTTTACAGATAAAATTCTCAACTAAAATAAAATTTCCGATTTACAATACGAATATTTAATAAATGATGCATATACAAATAGTTTATATAAGAATATTTTACAATTATATGTAGTTTTATTCGGGCGTATATATGGGGTGTATATATTTTAGTAATCTAAATCTACTTTATAAGAATATAAAACTTTATGGATTAAATACAAACTCAAAATGAACAGACTATGCGAACTCAACGCAGATGTTTGTGAATAAATCTCAATTTGAGATTTTAATTCCTATGTTTCCTTTTGATCTCCCTACAAAGATGTAGAAAAGCAAAATATATCGGTCCAAAAGTCGGCTGAATCGGAAACTGAAGAATTAAAATTGAGATTCTAAAATTGAGATCAATTTGCAAAATCTGAAATTATGCTAATATCATACAAAATCTAATATCATTTATAAGCTTTTATCGTCTCCTTCAATACAAAAGAATTATGTATATTTGAAAATATAAAAATCATTGTCTTTTATTAACATACTTATTTATACTTATACAAATGCAACACACTATCGATTATATATGTTTCAAAATAATAGATATTAATAGATGGCAAATTTATTACGTCATATTTTGCATATATTGAAAGTGTTAAAAAAAGTTATTAAACTAATTAATTTTTTTATTTTAAGATTTATTAATTCTTCTGCATCAATTCAAATTTTTGCAGTCACAAAATTTTCTTATTTTATTATATATATTAATGAATATAATAAATATCGCAGAAAGATAATAGCTATATTTTATTCATCGTTGATTCTCAATTGTCGAACATGTATGTATATATGTATATGTCAATAACATCCTATTATCTATTATGTTGGTCCGAATCTGTAGATTGATCTGTAGGTGGATTATATATTATGATAATTTCCACAGCATATTTCACGTTTTCATTTATGTGTTCTACTATTTAAAATAAGACAGAAACTGTAAAATTTTTAGTTTGATTTTTGTGAATAAATGCTTCAATAAACACTTAAAACACGTTAAATCATAGAAAATTGTAAATTATACATAATTGTTATCTGAAAATATCTCACAATGCTCTTTATTTTTACAATGGTTTATGTTATATACTAACTAGCGATTATGTTATTGCGCGTATGTTTTTTACACATTACAATTGACTAATTTCAAATAGATTATTATGTGTCCATATAAACGTTTCAACAAAATCTTGTATCATGACCAACATCTGAAAAAGTTAATTAAACATGAAAAAAGATTAAATGTAAACAAGAATCCAATTATAATTTAAGAACTGAGAAATGTACGTTTCTTTTCTTTCTACACACATATAATGTAATTTATTAATTGCTTGTCAATTTACAAGCATATTAATAACTTAAAATTAATAGAAGTAATAAATAAGTTTCCACCTTTGCAGTTCTTATTTTGATGACGTCATGATGTGTAGAAGACATGTAATCTGGTAGACAATCATGAAGACATTTCGGGAAATTTTCGTCTTCTATGTAAAAACATCGTTCATTTTCTAAATTATTCGTGACGCTGTAAATAATTAAAATATTACTTTAATCATTATGAAAATTTTTATAATAAAAAATTATATATGTATGCGTATAATAAAAAAAGAAAGATTATCGAAAAATAATGATAATGTCGAATCTAATATATAACTATACTTACAATTTTGATTTCCAAAATATACAGATAATTTCACCGTAAACATCTATTAGATCGCAACGTAGACCAAGTCTTCTAGCCACGCTATGAAATATTGTATATACAACGATATCTTGACCATATTTACTTTGTAATATTTGTGCCAGGTATAATACAGAACAAATTGATCAAAACGAGAGAATATTAAGAACAATATATAATATATACATATATGGCCCATAATTATATATATTATAATCTCTAATAACTTACATAATCTATACAAATCCATTTGATATCTTCGGGTGAAAATGGGGAGATACATGCTCGAAAATTCAAGATGCTAAATATATATTCCTGGAGTGTCCATAATCTGCGTACTTTCTGTTTTATCCCAATGATTATCTGCGATATTGTTGCTTTTCCAATAGGAAAAAGTTTCTTCAGAAGTGGAGAATATCGAATGGTTCGGATGCTTCACTCTGAGACAATTCAGTACTTCTTGTGCGATTGTATCCAATGATGCACTTACATTCGTGTAACATATAGCTTTTCGAGGTTGAATACGTTGTGCTATGAAAGTACAAACTTCTTCCAAAAGCTGTTCTCTTTCAGGTTTCTCTCTATATCTGTCCAACTCATTTCGTATCAAAGATATCTTCTCATAGTGAGACATTTCCATATTGCAAAATTCGTGGATTGAATTGCGATCAATTTTCCTAAAAAAATGTATATATATTAAATTATTAACTAATGAATAAATACAATAAATTGTAATAATAGTAGCATTATAATATATATGAATATCCTACTGTGGAAATTGTGTTAACAAGCATTTAATCTCCTCAATATAAAACATACATTTCAGCACATCTATAGGCTTACGTTTACGTTTAAAAACAAGTTCATTTTCATTCAAACGATTTGCATATTCATCGAAATTATCACTGAATTTCTTTACATCATGGAATTTTAATACTACATTACTAATTGAATCATTGAAATAATTTTGATTTGATATATTATTGTAATAATAATCATTGTAATAATCATCAAAAAGAATTAGAGACAAATAATTTCGCAATTGTGTCGCAGAATTTATGCCCAATGTAATAAAGTTTATGTTTTCTTCATTTTCTTTTTCCTTAAGACTTTCATATCTTTTCTTCGTAAAGGGCCATCTGAAATACGACCATAAAATATTGTAATAAATTTTTGATAATGAATCTTAGTTTTGTGTCGAGATTAATTTAAAATTAGCTGGATAAAGATCCTAAAAAGATAAGGATCCCTTATAAAAGGGATACAACAATATATGTATTTATATTTTTATTTATAAATTTTTATCGTATTTTTGTCTATTTTAAGTATTCTTATGTGCTTTGATTCTAAACCAAATTTATCTGAAAATTATTCTAGATAAATAATATAGTAAAGGTAGTACTTTTTTTTATCTACTTGTAAGATGCAGATATAAAGATAATACATATTTATATTATCTATATGCAGATAAGACGTTGCCACAGTTCTTCCATTTAATTTTATTTAGATAACACACAGCAAACTTTGATGATAGTAAACAATGTGATTGCACAAGTAATTTTTTAAATTAATAAGTTTTTTGAAGTATACAATTCAAAGCATGAGTACATGTATGTCACTTCTTTTTATACTTTAATCAGAAAAATAAAATATATAATAGTTAATTCTAATTTGTAATTTAATTTATACTTTTCAAATTTTGATTCCAATATGTATATTGCATAATTCTATAAGTGTATTCTATGTGCAATTAATAAACATTAATGTGCTTATGTGTTTGTATGTATAGATTAAGTTTTTTTTTAATATTTTGTAGAACAATTTTTTTGAAAGCATATTTACAAACAATGCGTCAATTTTGCTTATATATGTCACTTGGCATGTTTTTACTTTTATAATGATTTTATTGTGATTTTTATGTTATTTATAAAAAAGAATTGATAAAAAAATATCAAATCTGTTTGTGTCTATCACGAATATATATATCATATATATAATTTTTATATTTAAAAATGCAATTAAATATATTGAAAAATACACATTATAATAAATAAACAAAGTTACTTTTATGTTGTATTTTTAATAATTTAATCTAAAAAAAATTATTTAATGACTGAATATTTTTCGACTGATATATACATTTAAGCTAATTAATATTTATTTAATTAATCACACAACGTTTCATATAATTTTTGACCTTCTCAAGTGTTATTGTTAAGTGTGCGAAGGATTAAAATTATATGGTCGAAACACCGTGGTCGAAACGTTGTGTGATTAATTAAATAAACATCAATTGACGAATGTCGGTTGAAAAATATTTGGTCTTTTAATTTTTGACATGATATAATCTATTTTTTTTATCTGTTTTTATATTATTTAAGTTTTATTTTTTTACATTATATTTTCAATATTTTTTATTTATTATATATTTATAATATACGTTCTTCGCAGAAGTGATATACATTGTGCGACAGGCGTTAATGAGACAAAATAACAAAAAGATTTACAAACCACAAGAATTACCTTTGAGATAGAATAGTGAGTACATTATCGTCGAGAATGTGGCTTATCATCTCCTCTGGTAAGTACGTTATCTTATAATGAGACATTATGAGAAACAAAACACAAAAAAGGAATGTAAATTAAAGTGATTGCAATAAACTATTCGCCTAATTTCTTGCTTTTCGCAGTACAAGAAATGCGTCTGCCGATTACGAAGAGCACAGATGTGTGTTTGATGTACACGAGAGACGTTTTGCACACTGTAGACGTTCTGTTCTTTATTATAAAATTTGACCTCAAATTTTAAAGCATTATTGCCTGTTTTCACTAAGATGTAGGTATAAGGACTTGCCACGGCATGCGCAGAAAATGTAATTTAAAACTAGCAAATTTACCAGTTTTTTCTATGTGCTTGAAAGATAGAACGTGATAAATAATTTATTTATTATTTATTTTTTCAAATTTTTACAAATTTTCTCGATAAAAAAAGGGAAAGAGAGAGATTTACATTTTTCATTTTTTAAATTTTACAGATAAAATTCTCAGCTAAAATAAAATTCTCGACTTACGATACATATATTTAATAATTGATGTATGTATTGTACATAGTTTATATAAGACTATTCTACAATTTTATGTAGTTTTATTTGCGCGTATATACGGGGTGAATATATTCTAGAAATCTAAACTTTATAAGAATATAAAAATTCCATCGATTAATTACAAACTCAAAATGAACAGATTACGCGAACTCAACGCGGATGTTTGTGCGTTGAATATTGAAAATTAATTTTTTTCATTACGTCTAATAATAGCACGTGTACGAGGCACGTAGTTTTCTTAGCACATTGCTAAGACTATTTAGGAATAAATTTCAATTCGATATTTTAATTTCTATGTTCTCTTTTGATCATTTTAAAGAGATGTAGAACAGAAAAATATATCGGTCCAAAAGTTGCCAAATCGGGAAATTAGGAATTAAAATTGAGTTTCGAAAAGAACCAGATTGAGATTTATTTTTAAATGGTCTTAGCACTATGCTAAGCAAATTTCGTGCCTCGTGCACAATTACAAGTCATAGCAAAAAAATTTCTTTTTGCTATCTAACGCACAAACATTTGCATTCGACTCGCATAGCCTTGTTTATTTCGAGACTGAATTGATTATTCATTCAGCATAACATATTTCAAATTCATATATTTCAAAAGTTTATATTAATCTTTAAAAAAAAACTAAATAATAATAATCAATTTATCAGTGTGTCACTTACCCCTTTGGTAGCATTTAGGGAGGTGCAAAGATATTTTATGAAATTGAAATAAATGTATCATTATACAATAATTTAAAATAATTATTTATCTTGTTAAACTTGTCGCAAATCTTGCGTTTCAGAATGACCTTATTATAAATATGTTCTATATCTAAGTGTGGAGTATATTTGCTGTTCTAAGCATGTGTGTTTCAATTATGTGTTTTTTTTTTATATTTTTAGATATATAAAAAATTTTGGTATAAGTCTTTGTACAATCATCTGATTTTAATATATTTCTTGATATAGAATAAGAAGGCCACACACTTGAAACATTATGTATAAAATTCTTTATGCTTTATTGTTATATGATATTTCATAGATGTGTGTTTCAATAGATGATAGGATGAAATTTTTATCACAGATATCGCATGTTACACGTTGTTTGTTATACTTTCTAAAATAATGCCACCATTGAAAAGATCCTCTGCATGAAAGAAAGATTATATATACGAGTATTAGTTGTAGGAATTAGTAAAATTTTAAAGTCTTGCTTAAATTTTGCATAAATTTGCAAAATCTGTAATTATACTAACATCATACAAAATTTAATATCATTAATATAAGCTTTTATTGTCTCCTTCAACACAAAAGAATTATGTATATTTCAAAATATAAAAATCATTGCTTTTTATTAACATACCTGTTTATACTTATGCAAATGCAACACACTATTGATTATAAGTTTTAAAATAATAGATATTAATAGACGGCAAATTTATATTACGTCATATTTTGCATGTACTTAAAATATTAAGAAAAAAGTTTATAAATAAATTAATTTTTCTAAATTTTAAAATTTATGAATTCTACTGCACTAATTCAAATTGTTGGAATCACAATTTTTCTTACTATATTGTTTATATTAATTAATACACTAAATATAGCAGAGAGAATAATAAATATACTTTATTCATCGCGTTGATTCTCAATTGACATTGCATACAAAAATAGGGCATAGTATTTATCTATAAAAGTCGAAAATATATGTAATAGTGCACTATTTATGAAGTGATCCACCCAAATTTTCAAAGTTTTCCAATCACGCTGAAATTTGCTGAAAGTGTAGTCCTATCAAAAGTAAAATTATTCAAGTTGTTTGGCCCACATCATACAGGTTCTGTGTTAACAGGGACTTGAATTTTTATTATTTTGACCGTTACGTCCAACTTCAAACGTTAATAAATTTCAGAAGACTACTTCGATTTTAAAAAATAAGATGTGATTTCGAAAGGTTTTTTCAATTTAATCTTGTAAAATTAGTTTTTTCTTTCAATAACAATTTATATTTAATTTAACTATATCTTGAAAACTAAAAGCCTGCACATCTTGGCCTTGGAAGCGTCAAAGGAGAAGATTTCTACTTTTTTTAAAGATTTTTTGAAGAAAATCGAAGATGTCTAAATTTGAGAAAAAATTGATTTTTACTTTGTTTTTTGAAAATTTTATATAAATTGTTATTAAAAGAAAAAACTAATTTTACAAGATTAAAGTGAAAAGACCTTTACCCCTGTAGATTTATAATTATACCATTTTACATGGGTTTGCAATGGGTAGTTTTTCACTAGTAACTTTTTCACCAACGCGCATAGCTTGACGTTTTTTTACAGTTTTTGAAAAGGTAAGTTTTTAAAGTAAACATTACTGGGAAAGATAATAAAATATTGATTTATGATTAATCTTAGTTGTTGAATTATGATATTGAAAATAATATGTAATTCTTAAATTGGAAGTAACAAATTCTGATTAAAACATTAAAAGTGTTTGATATTGTTGTTTGTATTTAAAGACATGACTTTGTAATAATATTTTTATGTTTCGAAATGAAATCAGTTTAAATTGAGATTAGAAAGTGTACAGGAAATATAACCACTGTCTCGTGAGCGATAATAAATGTTTTAAATTTATATTATCAGTAGCTTTAATTTTTTGTTTTAGCATTTTAAAGATTAAATAATGAAGACATATGTGCGGTTCTCGGAGAAAAATAGAATTTAATTTACCTGCTAAATAAAATCAAATGCGCATGTAACAAGAATCAAATAGAATATGTAAATATATTAATTTAAGTACTTTGCAAATGCTATATGAAAAGAATAATTTATTTTCATAAACTTTTGAATAGAAATGTTTTTTCATATCAAATAGAATTGTTTTTTTTATATTTTACTTTATCATTCAAAGAAACTTAAAAAGAGATTTGAAAATATTTTTCAATTTAACATACGAATTTTTTATTATATTACTATTTAAAAATTTGACAGAGCAAATATTCTTTTATTATAATAATGCATTTAACTAACTGACTGTATTACTACGACGTAAATTAATTACGACAATTATTGTAATTGGATTTGCACAATAGTTGAAGATTGTCTAAAAAAATATTATTTATTTCTATTCTTTATTATATATAATTTCAGTTTTATATATTAATGATTTATCTGTTTATAATGTAACTAAGGAATAAAAGTAAAATATTTCTGCTGAAAGATTCTTGAGCCAAAATTTGTGATACATTTAGATAATAATAAAATCGAAACGAAATAGCTGTTACACAATTCAAATCTGTAAAATAACAGCGATTGCGGTATACTCATCTTTGATGCAGAATTATGTACAATTATGATATATTAAATAATATAATTTTATATCTTATAAATATTAATTCTTATATATCTCATTGTTATATACTGGTCATAAAGTTAATTTTTATTTGAAACATATATTGTATTTAAATATATTGCGAAATTTAGACATATTGTAAATATAATATACGTTTTGTATCAATGCAAATAAAATAATGACAATCAGTTTAATAGTTTAATAGTTAGCTGAAATTAATACATGTGTCATTTGTTAGTTTTTTATATAAGTAGGTACGCATATCTATAATTAATTATTACATAAGTTTTTTAAATGATGAAATTAAGTTAAAATTAAGTTAAATAATGATTAAAGTGCTGACAATGCAATCGATATTTAGTTTTAAGTCTTTGAATGTTATTATTTTTGAGAAATCAATCATAATCGAGAAGCAAAATGGATCAACACGCGATAACATAAAATCTCTTTTATAACAAACATTTTGGAATAATTATATATATTTCTGTATATTTTTTTGTTATTTATATATTTACATATATTTCTCCTTTTTCTATAATATAAGTTGCAATAATTAAAATATGTATTATATCCAAGCTTCTGTGTGGAGCCTTGAGAGAAGAGACACAGGTAATATGCGGTTATTTTGATAACAACATGAAAGAATTAGAATTTGATTAAATTTAAGTATTTTTAGAAATATAAATTTGATAAACGATACATGATGAATTATGTTCATCACACATAGACGTCGTCACGCATTATCAGTTTATACGAAACAAAACGGATCGACAAATATTATTAACATATATTCTGCTTTTGGAAATAAAGAATAATGTATAATTAAATAAATTATACATGCAATTATTTTGAATATATATATATAATAATATTTTTGATATATTTTAAAATTATCAAAAACAAGTGCTATATGAAAAGAATAATTTATTTTTTTAAACTCTTGAGTGTGGAATTTACATTTGTTCACATTTTAACTATAAGATATTCAATTAAAAATAAATTGAATAAAAAAAATAGAAGTTATAATAGATATAATATATCACATTTATCGAAACAATTTACAAATTTTGTAATTATTTAAATAGATATGAGCAAAATTTTATCTTCAGTTAAATATGCCTGTTAGACTATATTACAACGACATAAATTAATTATTATAATTATTACAATAATATAGCATATATACAATAGCTAGTGATTGTCTCGAGAAAAGAAGAAAATATTTATTTCTATTTCTTTTTTATATCTGTTTAATATCCTAAAGATTTATCTAATAATAATTAAGAGAAACAGATAAAATTATTTTGCCTTAGTACTGTAGAGTTTGTGATATACATCATGTATATGTACCTTATATATGAATTATACAATAAATTGTATCAAAGTATTACATATTTTTATATTTTTAAATTAAATATTACATATATTTTGACGGCACACATATGCATTCATGTAGTTTAAGTTGCGATAATAAACACTAATTGGAAACAACAAAAAAGTATCGATATATGTTCTAACGACTTCTGATTAAAACTTTGAAAACGTCTGATATACTGTTGTTTGTATATAAAGACATGACTTTGTAATAACATTTTTATATGTTTCGAAATAAAATCAGTCTAAATTGAGACAAGGAAGTATACAGTAATTATAACCACTACTGTCTGGAGGGCGATAACGAACGTTTCAAATTTATATAATCAGTAACTTTCTTTTTTGCTTATTTGACGTTTTAAAGATTAAATAATTAAGAAGACATATGTGCGGTTCTCGGAGAAAAATAGACATTAATTATTCTGCCAAATAAAAACAAGAATCAAATAAAATGTAAGTATATTAATTTAAGTACTTCGCAAACATATCCTTTGATTATACTTTGCATATTTTTATGTATAACAAATGAGATATTTCTTTCACATATGACTGACACGATACGCATTTCTTACACTTACAGATCGAGAAGAAACGATGAATATAATCTCCAAATTTCTCTCATTTTATGTGAGAATATATTTTTTATATATTAATTCCAATAAATATATTTGTAAGAGCTACGTAAATTTAACTCTTGCCATTCAACGTTGCATTTGTTGTGTCAAGAAAAGATATTTTTATAAAGATAAATAAAAAGATGATTAAGTTCAAAATTTCCGCACCAGGCAGAATCATTTTATCAGGGGACCACACGGTGACGTTTGGAAATCATTTTGTTGTGGCCGGCTTAGATCTTCGCACCAATCTAGAATTCTGCGAACTATCAGATGAGCAAACTAACATTAGAATAGAGTTTCAGGATTATGAGAAGGATGTACCTTTACAAGAAGTTCAATGCTTATCTTCTCGACTTATTCGCGAAAACTTGTTTTCCGATCAAGTCAATTTGCTTAAAGAAGTGAATTCCTTTATCAACGTAAACAATATGTGGGAGAAAACCGAGCAGAAAATTAGCTTACTAATGCTCTTTTTCTTACTTTGTACTGTTACTTACAAAGAGCATCTTGTCATAAAACCTTTTCGATTACACGTGTCCACTGAAATTCCTTTTGAAAATGGTCTTGGCGGTTCGACATCATTCGTGGTTTGTCTGGCAGCGTGTTTTCTTCATTGGAAGCGTCTACAGAGTGGTGTTCATATTAGATTTAATGAACAAGACTTAGAGAAGATTGAAGAATACACTAGATCTTGTGAGGGCATTTTGCAAAAGGATGCATTAGCAACGATCGATGCCAAAGTTTGCGTATATGGCCGTATAAATAAATGCAAACATATTCATTCTAATGTTTATGATATGAAGTGTATAGATGTTGTTAAAACAGGAATAAAGATTCTATTGATCGGGACACATCTTTGCCTAACGGAAGCACAAAGATATAAGCAAATAGCAGATCTGATGTTGTCACGTAGCAATTTTAATTCTATTTTTAATGAATTGGACGAAATAGCAATAAATATATTTGATGACCTAAATTATATTAATAATAACATAGAAAATTCTGATGCTTACAATGACTTACAGGTATTTTTATATTTTTTTATTTAACAACGAAATTATTTTATTTTATGCTGTATTCCTTATTAGTTTTGCGGCGTGAAAAATTCTTTATTACAATGTTTCGCCAGAAACTGTAGGTACAATTTTATACCTAAAATTTTTCGTGTTTTACAGAGAGACATTAAGAAAAATCAACAAATGTTGAGCAAATATGATTTGTCGTATTTTGAATTTGATATTGTTTCCTGCCTTGGAAGTGGATTTAATTTGGCAGGAAAACTTACAGGTTTTAAAGGTAGTTATGTATACTTTCCGTTGCCACCAAAAATTACTAAGGAAGAAATCACACGTATTACAAATCTTTTCTCGTATAGAAAATGCAGTTACAAAATTGCTACAATAGGCTGTGACGGAGTGAGAATTGATATATAATTCTACTAAAATTATAACGATTATATATAAATAATTATTGCTAATTTGATAGAATACAAAAGATGACGCAAAATTATTAACTTAATACTTGTTAAATTAAAAAAAAAGCGGCAGTCTCTTAATAATATCGCATTGAATTATAAAATCAAAAGTAAGAAAACTTTGAGTTGAATTTTCTTATAAAATATATCAAAAAATATTAATTTTTTTAATTCTACTTTATTTTGCTTTAAAAATTTAAACAATGTTGCGCCGAGATCATGCGCTGCAATGAATATACAGAAATTTTTCCTGATTTATAAATTAAATAATATAAACATTTCTTTATAATTTTAATTATGTGAAGTAAATTTTGAATAAAAGATAAGTCGAATAATTTTAAATTATATTTTTCGGCAACGCTTAAGAAAGGAAATAATTAAATAAAATTTATTTATTTAGAATTGTGTATTAAATATATGTATATACATATACATATGTGTATCTGTTAGCTGCATGTTTAATTTTTGTGTTACATATTATATGGAGGATGTCTTATATACATACATATTTATATACATATATATACATACATATATATATATATATATATACAGGGTGTCCCTAAAGTTCGTTACCATCCCTAATATTTCGGAAATTAATCAAAATTTCGAAAAATTGCAAAACACGTGTTCGATTATTTCGCCCCTCAAAGGAGTCCAAGGGGGGTGATCCACCATTGAAAATCGATTTTTCGAAATTTTGATTCATTTCCGAAATATTAGGGATGGTAACGGACTTTAGAGACACCCTGTATATGTCTATGTAATATATAAAACTGATTAAATAATATTCATTTAGTAATTTTTTATTTGTTAAAAGACCGGGAGCAATAGTTCAAAATTTTCAATTTTTTATTATTCAATAATGCAATATAATTTGATGCACGAATTATAAAGTACATTATTGTTTATTTGTGATTTAATAACATATATTCTGCTTTAGGAAATATGGAATAATGTATAATTAAATAAATTATATATGCAATTATTTTGAAAAAAATATATATATATATATATATATATATATATATATATATATATATATATATAATAAAGTAATATTTATCGAAATAATATACAAATTTTATGTTGTTATATAAATAGATATTAGCAAAATTTTCTCTTGCGTTAATTATGCCTATATGAATATAACTATATTACAACGACGTAAATTAATTACGACAATTTATTATAATTATTACAATATTATAAGATTTATAAAATAGCTAGAGATTGTCTTAAGAAAAGAAAAAAATATTTATTTCTATTTCTTATTTATATCTGTTTTACAAACTAATTATTATAAGATTTATTTTATATATAATAATTAGGAGATAAAAATAAAATTATTCTGCTTTAGTACTATTGCGTTTGTGATATACATCATATACATGACCGATATATATATATATATATATATATATATATATAAATTATTTAATAAATTTTATCAAAGTATTATATATTTTCGTATCTTTAAATTAAATATATATATGTAATATTTAATTGCCATCAAAATGATGCATTTTGACATCAAAATGATGTCATAATAATTACTGTGGCTACCTGGGTATGTATTTATACATGTATTTTAAATTATGATAATAAACATTAACTGAAAACAACAAAAAAATATTGCTATTAACGAATTTTGATTAAAACATTAAACACTGATCTTGTTGTCAACACTGTCTGATATTGTTGTTTATATTTAAAGATATGACTTTGTAATAACATTTTTATATATTGCGAAATGAATTCAGTCTAACTTAAGACAAGAAAGTATACAGGAAATATAACCAGTATCTCGTGTGCGATAATGAACGTTTTAAATTTATATTATCAGTGGTTTTAATTTTGTGTTTTAGCGTTTTAAAAATTAAATACTTAAGAAGACATATGTACGGGTTCTTGGAGAAAAATAGAATTTAATTTACCTGCTAAATAAAATCAAATGCGCATGTAACAAGTATCAAATAGAATGTAAGTAAATTAATTTAAGTACTTTGCATACAAATCCATTTCATATATACTTTGCATATTTTTATGTATAACCGATGAGATATTTCTGCCGCATATGACTGACTCGTTATGTATTTCTTACGTTTATAGATCGAGAAGAAACGACAAATATAATCTCCAAATTTTTCTCATTTTATGAGAATATATTTTTTTATATATTAATTCCAATAAATATATTTGTGAGAGCTACGTAAATTTAACTCTCTACCATTCAACGTTGCATCAGTTTTGTCAAGAAGAAGAAATATTTTCATAAAGATGAATAAAAAGATGATTAAGTTTAAAATTTCCGCACCAGGTGAAATCATCTTATCTGGGGAACACACGGTGATGTTTGGAAAACATTTTGTTGTGGCCGGCTTAGATCTTCGCACCAATCTAGAATTCTGCGAACTATCAGATGAGCAAACTAACATTAGAATAGAGTTTCAGGATTATGAGAAGGATGTACCTTTACAAGAAGTTCAATACTTATTTTCTCGACTTATTCGCGAAAACTTGTTTTCCGATCAAGTCAATTTGCTTAAAAAAGTGGATTCCTTTATCGACGTAAACAATATGTGGGAGAAACCCGAGGAGAAAATAAGCTTACAAATGTTCTTTTTCTTGCTTTTTATTATCATTTACGATATGGAGCACGAAGTAAAACCTTTTCGTTTACGCGTGTCCACTGAAATTCCTTTTGGAGATTGTTTTGGCAGTTCAACTTCGTTCGCGGTTTGTCTGGCAGCGTGTTTTCTTCGTTGGAAGCGTCTACAAAGTGGTGATTATATCAGATTTAATGAACAAGACTTACAGAAGATTGAACATTACACTAAATCCTGTGAGAACATAATGGTATATTCTACGTTTAAGCCGCTCGATGCCAAAGTTTGCATATATGGCAGTATAAATAAATGCATAAGTAATAATTATCAATCTTGTTCTATCGAGGAAACTATAAATTTAACAACAGGAATGAAGATTCTATTGATCGACACACATCGCTTACAATCAGACAAATACAGCATATATCTGCAAATGCTAGAGTTAAAATATTTCCGTCCTAGCTATTTCAATTCAATTTTAAATGATTTAGAGAAAATAGCAACAAGAATATTTAATGATCTTTATAATATTAATAATAATATAAAAGATCCTGATGCTTATAGCAACTTACAAGTATTTCTTCTATTTTTTCTTTTTATTTAACAATGATATTATTTTATTATATACAATATTCTTTAGTTTTACTGCGTTATGAAATATCTTTTATTACATAGTTTTTTGCCAGAAACTGTATGTACAATCTTATAACTAACGTTCTTCGTGTTTGCAGAGAGACATTAAGAGAAATCAACAAATGTTAAGCAGATATGACTTGTCGTATTTTGAATTTGATATTATTACCTGCCTTGGAGGTGGATTCAATTTGTCAGGAAAGCTTACAGGTTTTGGAGGCAGATATGTATACTTTCTGTTACCACCAAGAATAACACAGGAAGAAATCAAACGTATTACCAATTTTTTTCGTATAAAAGATGCAGTTACAAAATTGCTACAATAGGCTGTGACGGATTGAGAATTAATTAATCCTACTAAAATTATAACAATTACATATAAATAATTAATTATTATTAAATTGATAGAATACAAAAAAGATAAAGCAAAATTACTAACTTGATATTTGTGAAATTTAAAAAAAAATTACGATTTCTTAATAATGTCGCATTGAATTATGAAATAAAAAGTGGGAAAACTTAGAATTGAAAATTCTTGTAAAATATATCAAAAAATATTAGTTTTTTTAATTCTTTATTTTGCTTTAAAATTATAAACGATATTGCGTCGAGATTATGCGCTGCAATGAATATACAGAAATTTTTTTCTGACTTATAAAAATAAATTAATATATGCAATGTTTCATAATTTAAATTATATAAAGCAATTTTTGAATAGAAAATAAATCAAATAATTTTGAATTATATTTTTTCGGCAACTCTTAAGAAAGGAAATAAAATTTATTTAATCTGAATTATGTATTAAAAATAGATATATATACATATACATATATCTGTTATTTACATAATTTCGGTGTTACATATTATCTGGAGCATATTTCATAGATAAATGTCTATGTAAAATGTACATATAACTGAGTAAATAATATTTATTTAATAATTTCTTCTTTATTAAAATAGCAACTGGAAGCAATTTTCCAAAATTTTTAATTTTTTATTATTTAATAATGCTATATATAATTTAAGGCATGAATTATGAAGTACATTGTTTATTTGTAATTTAGTAACATATATTCTGATTTTAGAAATATGAATTAATGCATAATTACATAAAATATACATGCAATTATTTTGAATATATATATACATACATATATATATATATATATACAATATATATATACATATATATATAAACTAATATTTTTGATATATTTTAGAATTATCAAAAACAAATAAAAAGTGAGCTATATGAAAGGAATAATATATTTAAACTTTTAAATATTAGTCTTTTTTATATTTAACTTTACTATTCAAAGAAACTTCGAAAAAAAACGAAAACCTTGATAGAAATTTGAGAGTATTTTTCAATTTAACATACCAATTATTATATTATTATTTGATAAATTGACAGAGCAAATTTCCTTTTGCTATAATAATGCCTTTAACCAAATAACTGTATTACTACGACATAAATTAATTACGAGAATTATTATAATTGGATTTGCACAATAGTTGGAGATTGTCTGAAAAAAAGGATTTTTTACTTATTTCTATTCTTTTTTATAATTTCAGTTTTATGTACTAATGACTTATCTGTTTATAATGTAATTAAGGAATAGAAATAAAATATTTCTGCTTCAGGATTCTCGAGCCAAAATTCATAATACATTTAGATAATAATATTTAAGTCAAAATAAAAAAAGCTGTTATAATTGAGATCTGTAATTTAACAGAGATCGCGATATATACATCTTTTATTTTCAAAATATATAATTCTATTATAATAAATAATATAATTTGATATAGATTGAAAATATTAATTCATACCTATAAATATGAATTTTGTGATGACAAAAAAGTGCATTTTTATTTAAAATGTATATTGTATTTAAATATATTATAAAATTTAGACATGTAAATATGATATACGGTTTGTGTCAATGCAAATAAAATAATAACAATTTATCTGATTGTTAACAAAAATTAAAATTATTGTTATAATTTTGAAAATTTGTTTCTATGTCCTTCTATGTATTTGTATCCATATCTATTATTATTACATATACGTTTTCGAATGTTGAATAAGTTAAGTTGAAGTTAAGATAAAGTTTGATTAAAGTTTTGAGATTGATATTTAGCTTTAAGTTTTCGAAACATTATTATTGTTGAGAAATTAATCATAATTGAGACACGAAATAGATTAATATGGGAAAACATAAAAACTTTTTTATAATAACGAATATTTTCGATTAATTATATATATTTCTGTATATTTATTATTATACATTTATTTACATATTTACATATTTTTCTTCTTCTTATAATATAAGTTTCAATAATTAAATTACATATTACTCAGGTTTGTGTGTGGAGCTTTTAAAGAAGGGATACAATATACGTTTATTTTGATGACAACAGGAAAGAATTAGAATTAATTGAATATATGTATTTTTAGAAATATAAATTTAATAAAATGTACATAATCACACATAAATAACGTTCGTACCAACTTATGCAAAACGAAACGGATCGATAAATATTATCTCGATATTGGTATTTGTGTTATACATAAATATATACATTTTCTGAGTTCTTAATAAATATTTGTAAGAGCTACTGTACAATATATTATTTATTGTTCAATATTACGTCGATCTTTTACAGGGCACAAATTTTTATTTATAAAAGGGATGATAAAATTAAAAATTTTTACACCGGGCATATTAATCTTTATTCATAATGATGTATGGAAAATATGTTGTGGCGACCAGCACAGATCTTCGTACCACGTTCAAATACTGTGAACTATCTGATGAGCCAAAGATATTATTAAAATAAAGTTTCCTCATGTCGATTTAATATTAAATAATTAATGTTAAATGTTAAATGTATACCTGTAAAATAGTTCTAGGTTTGAAAGTATGATGACAATTAAATAAGTTACATAGAATTATTTTGTTAATAAAAGGTAATATTTTGGTATATTTTTTACTATTTTTATAAAAAAGTGCTGTATGAAAAGAATAATTTATTTTTATAAACTTTTGATAGAAATTTTTTCATTTTTAACTTAGTTATACAATTTAAAATAAATTAAATAGTAAAACAGAAATTATAATAAAGGTAATAAAATATTTATCAAAATAATATACGAATTTTTATATTATAAATATAAATATAGCAGAAAAATTTTCTCTTGCGTTAGTTATATGAATGACTATATTAAGACTATATTAAAATGTAAATTAATTACGACAATTATTATAATTGTTACAATAATATTTGATTTATACAATAGCTAGAGATTGTCTCAAGAAGAAAGTATATTTATTTCTATTACTTTTTTATATGAGTTTTGTATACTAAATATTTATCTTATAATAATTAGGAGATAACGATAAAATTATTCTGATTTAGTACTCTTGAGTTTGTGATATACATCATGTACCTTATATATTAATTATTCAATAAATTATATTTATGTATTAGATATTTTTGTATCTTTAAATGGAATATTATACATATACCATATGTAAATATTTCAAAATTTTCAGTTTTTTTATTATTCCATAATACTATATAATTCCAAACACAAGTAAGAAATACATTGTTTATTTGTAATCTATTATCACATATTCTACTTTTAGAAATATGAAATAATGTATAACAATTAAATAAATTATACACAATAAATTAAATAAATTATACAAGATATGCTGTCTTGCTATCTTTCTTTCCTTCCTCCTTAAAGATCTTTTTCAAACAACTTTTATACGAAACATTTTTTTATAAAAGGCGTAGAAAAAAATATTTAGAGTGAAATTAAAATGATCCACTTTGTATAAATTAATAGTAACATAAAAAAAAATATGACAACTAAAAGTTTAGTATGACTCAATATTAAACAAATTTAAATTTTAACAAATTAGAAAGTTTCAACTAGGATGCTGGAACTTTTAAAATCAAAGTCTAATATTGGTGTTATCAGTGTTATGTGGACGACGAAAGAGATTTAATTTAATTTAAGATGTCACTTTTATGTATATATGCATATAACTGCTGACATCGACCGTTTGGGTTTTATTATGTTATTCGTCTTTACTTTATATTTTTTCTTTCTAATATTAGTGACATGTATATATTGATTTATTATATTATCTTTTATCCGATTTTTTGTAATTATTTATAATTTTGAAGATAATCCAAAGAATTAAAACATCCGCTAATGTTTTTACTCGAAATAAGTGATTAATTTAATTTGTTACTAGTGATAAATTTCTACAAGGGATTTGTCAAGCATGTCTGGATATATATTGTATAAACAAGCAATGTTGATGAAATCTGTCCTAATTTTTATAGTCGCAGGATCATCATCAGAATGCTCGTCGAAACCGATATGTTCAAATAGCTTATGCGCCAAGTTAAAAAAATATGTATACGTAAATACATTTTATAATGATCAAACAATTTAAAAATGCAATAACTTAATTCAAGATAGCTTTCTTTCTAATAATTTTTCTACTAATTATTAAATATTTAATTTGCAAAAATCAATCACAAAATTTTTATAATTCATATATATTAATATTTAAACTTAATTAATATTAATATTTTTCTTTTTTCTTCCTCTTTCTATTAATTCAGATAATTAATCAGTTTTAATATATATTTATAAATTGTGCAAAATATATCTTCCTTTAAAGATCGCAGCCACACGGGGCATCCGCAAATAATAACTTAATCTGTGAATGATTCGAAATGCTGGATACCATGGGACGAGATCGATTTCGCACGACAAGTAACTTATAACTTCGAGAGAAATAATAAAATCAAGCTGTTCGGTTGCTATCATCTAATAAACGTCGTCGATAATTTGCGCACGATTCAAATAATAATAAACTTTATATATGCATCAGTGTACTACAAAATTATAAGATGTGTAATTTGCAACATAAAATGTAAATTATATTATATTTCAAGTAATATAGAAGTTTATGTTTAAAGTCTGAAAAGCGGGAAATCAAAACATACATGTATGTGTATAAAAATAATAAAGTATACTTATTATTTATATAAAAACAGAATATATCAGATTTATAATTAATAGTATATATTAATTTTATTATTGTTTATAATATTTTCATATTTGCACATTTATTTATTAAAGTTTATTCATTTTTAATGATGTAGCATTATTTAGTGTAATGTGCATTGCAACAGAGAATTGATTATTTTCGAGAGCATTATGAATTTTGGCCAAGTAAAAATTTATTTTGGATAAGACTTTTGTTCTCTCAATTAAATACATACTTATGTCAAGATCACGTTGTTCGGCAAAAGCTTTCATCTATAACACAAGTTATTTCAAAATTCAATATATACCTATCACATTGAAAAACAGACAATAAATATTTCAAATAATATAATATTATGTGATAAATAATAAAATAATAGTAATAAAATAAAAAATAAAAACAATTAGAAAATAAATAATAAAAATAAATTAGAAAAAAAAAAATTAGAAAATAAAAATAAA